CATTGAGAATAAAAAATGCATAGTTGTAATCAAGATCTACTAAGATGTGCACCCAGCAAGCGAAAATCAGCTATTTTTTCTCCAAAAGTTTTGACTTTGTTTACGTTTTGATAATGGTCGAAAGTCAATTCACAATAATGGATGTTGACAAAAAACTTAAGAAGCAGCTTATATACATCTGGTCTCGCTGGATGACCCTTTTCATAGGCCTTGATTGTCATGCAAACTATTGTGAATGTTTCATATTACATATATTTATGAATACAACGTCAAGGCCTGTGCAAACAATAGGCTGTCCTAAAGATTAATTTCATAAATTTGTACTTTGTTTACTTATTTATAATGTTTAATCAATTTACAATAATGGATTTTGACAGCAAAGAAGAAAACAGCTGTTTTACAGGAAATCTTCCTACGCGACCTTATTAATAGGCCTTAAAAATAGGCCAGATAACATAGTCAAGAAAAATCAGCTGTTTCATAAGATAGCAATCTTAATTGAATTATTGTGAATTGAATATGAAACCGAAAACAAACCTATTAGAATTTAACAAATATAAAAAACAGGGGAACCAAAGTTAAATATTAATCTCTGGTTTCGTTTTTTTGCCTCCTGTGTATCCGAATTCATGGCCAAGTTGACAGTAAATTTATCTCCTTTGAATAAAAAAACTATTGTGAATAAATTGTTAGAACACAATAATGTGGAGTTTGCATCACTGATTTAACGTAAATTTGCAGAAAACTATTGTGAATGGTTTAAAAGGATGTACGTACATATTGGTCTACAATATGATCAATCTTTGAATAATTCTACGTTATGCTGACCAATAATACCATATATTTCGCATTTAATCAGAGCAATTGTCAAAATAAAAGGGTTTATGTTCATAAGCTTTCACAATAAAAGGTTAATGAACACATTTGCTAATAATCACAGCCATTTAATAATTACAATTCACAATAGAATATTTTAAGACCTACCCAATGCCTATAGATGAATGGCTGGATATATAATTTCAAGTTCGATGTCAAAATTCATTAATTAAATAATTACAATATAAGATAGAATATTTTAAGACCTAGCATTAAGAATTATGACATACGACAGCTGTCAAAACGGTTGTGCGGTGTACTAAATCATTAGTTAACTTATTTATTACTGGACTTTAGCCTTTAGAAGAAGGGAATATACTTTATATATATTTCAAAATAAAATATCGTAATCATTCACAATAACACATCAATTAGAATTAGGTGCTAATAGCTGCATAAATTTTTTGTAAAGATTTCTAAAGTCAATGTATTTTTTAATCATTTACAATGAAACGTAAATTAATGTATGTTCTAAATTATAATACTGAAATTAATATCATTCACATTAAAAAAAATCTTTACAACTATATATTATCCTTTACGAGTAAAATCAGCTGATTGCGGCATGACAATGATGGATTATTTTGTTATTGGTTTTAATGTTTAATGTTTGATTATATTATTTGTAAATATATATACGTAATATAAATAAATATATATATGTAAATATATATCGTTAACAACTGTGAATGATTTTTTAAATATCAATTGCAAAATTACACCACAAGTATATTTATAAAAATATCGAAAAGTGTTAAGTTTTCATAATGGAAGTCAATTCACAACAAACGATTTTGACAGCAAATGACAGCTAAATTTAATGTACGCCCTTTATTAGTAAGCCTTAAAAATAGTTAATTATTTCAAAGTTTTTTTTTAAAGGATAACCCAATAAAATCTAGGAAAATCAGCTGTTCATAAGTTTGCTGTCAAATTTATTATTGTGAATTGACTTCACAATAATTGATTTGACCAGCTGATTTTCAAGTTAAATGTCAAAATATCGTTTACGTAGTTCTTAAAGTATATTTTTCACAGTATTTTTTTTTTAATTGCAGTACTCTGAATGGCATTTATATTTATAAAAAAAAAATATCTCACTTGCGTAATTACTCTCCTTAGTCAAGTTCAGAGATCAACCATTCTCAATAGTATGATAATATGATAAACAAGTGATCTGTGCAATCAGCTGATCATTTTGTAAACAAACAACATAAAAGACATAATATAACTTTTATAGGAAAAAATACAAAACGATTAATATAATTTTTTTTCAATTTCTGAAATAAGCAGATTTGGAAAATTCAATAAAAACAATGTTTTATAGCAAAAATCTGTGAACCTAGCCCAAATACTTGTTATTTGTAATTACAGAGAAGCCAAGCACTACTATTTCCAAACTTTTTTTCGATACTCATAATGAAATCATCTTCAAAGAAACAAAATAATTATTTACAAGAATAAGAAAACACATTAATTTAGTTTTGCATGTTAGCAGAAAAAAAAACCCTCTCTATTTTTTTAATAACAAGAAACCAAATGAAGAAAAAACTTCTTAAGGATGGACAACACTTTTCATTACTGATGCCGATGCTGCTGCTGCTGGCACAAAGGCGACGAAACAAAATTAAGGCGTACAATGAAGCACCCTAAAGAAATACAACAAAATAACACCGAAACAGAAAAACTACAATTTAATCATGTACTCCTTGATACTAGAATAGAAACAACTAAAAGGAGGAAACAAGGACCAACAACAACAACAACGAATACTAGAGACCCTGTTTCACATCATTTATATTTTTAATTAGAAAAGAAAACCAAAGAACATGAAATATCTATCCTTTTTTACCCATTTTTTTGTTGTTATGGTCTTACTTTTGTGTACTCAATATCCTGTCCAGCAAAAGTATACTCCTTCCATTCCTTGCAGATACCAAAGACCTACCACCTACTTTCATAAAAAAATCACTTATTATGTAAATTTTTTTCACTCTCTAATGAGTTGAAATTCATTTTTAAAAGATTTCTCTTGCCTTGAAGTTCTATATTTTTTTCTTGAAGAACAATTTTTTTCTTTTTCTTCCATCTTTGTCCGGAGAAGACCGCCCTTTGCTGTTGGTGTCATCTGCAAACGTCTTATTTTATGTTGCTGTTGTTGTTGTATACAAATTTTATAAATTAAGCAGGAAAAAATGTGTATTTTTTTAAGAGAATTCTCATTAATTTCTTGTCTTGCAAATGAAACGAAAAAAAATACAATCCTTTCACAATAACAACGCCAACAGGATATCAGGGCCAACAACTCATCATGGACATGAATTGCTTAAAGAAAAATACAAAAAAGCCAACAACAACATGATAAAGAATAAAGTGGAAATCTAAAAGTGTTTTCCACTCTTCCTTTTTTCGCTGGCGTCACGATAAGACGTTGATGATGATGCTGCTGCTGATGGACGGTCTCTTGCCGGCCGACCGGACTGATAGACTGTCAGTCGTGTATGCCACCCCTCATCAATGGGAAAATATAGACACAAACATTGGCATTGCCACCACCCCCTAACAAGCAACCACAGAGCAACAATCCACACCACCCCACCACCACCATTGACACCGTCATCTGCATTACCATTACTTAGTTATTAAGCAACCTTTTTTTACAAAATACAAATTTTAGTCAATGCCGCGCATTCATTTTTTCTTCTCTCCAACCGATAGTCCGCCGCCAGCCGTCATTTGTTTGATGTTCTTTCTTCAAAAAGGAAACATCATCCCTGGACCAGAAATTATTTACCGAACACAAAAAAGAGTTGAAAATTCCTTTTTTTCATAGCAATTTTTTCCGAACTTAAATCATTTACTTATTTCGTGGGTCATGTTGCTGTTGTATTTACTGTGCGGAAATTACGCAGGGCAAATTGTTAAGACTCACCCCCTTCCACCCGACCCGACCGTCAAAGCAATATAACAGCTCTGATTTTAAGTTTTTTTATTTTGAGGCAGCGCAACGAAAGTGCTAAGGTTTCCCATTATGTGCATTCAGCTGAAGAGTAGTTCTTAATTTGACATCATAACCGTTTTGTGTCCAAAACAATACACAGTGTAATTTTGTTATTTGTGTCCTTTATTTCCTTGGGGTAAGTTGGAATTTTTAACGTCCTTTTTTATAGGCTTTTTTCGTTCATTTTGAATATTTCTAAGGAGATTTTCAGTGTTTTATAGTCCTCGTGTTCTGCATACTTGCTTATGGGTTTTATGTTTTATTTAAATTCTGTATTGTTTATATATTTCTGTTTTATTTTCTTAATTTTTTTTATTAATTTATCGGTCTAACTGAAAAGCCTTTTTTTACAAGGATGTTTTTATTATTATCCCTTTCAAATTATGTTTGGCTCTATGAGAAAGCAAAACTAAATTCTCAAAGTTTTTTTGTTAAAATTTTAATATAATTCTGTTATTAATTAATATAAAACAATTAAAATATTGAATTATTACAATATATTGTTTATTTTCCTACTTTTAAAATTGCATGTCTCGCAAAATCATAGAAAAAAAAATAATCCTATATTATATTTTTATTAACAATTGTATTAATTATGTTATTAATTAATATAATACATTATGTACAATTAATTAAATATTTAATAAAAATATATATTTATTATTACAATTATTTAAATATTTAATAAAAATATACATTTATTACATTAGAGTATAAAGCAGCTATATTACATTCTCGTTACGTTGCGTCGTCCACTAACTACAACACATACTTCCACAAAAACAACCATTCACAATGGCGCAGGGAACAGGTGATCTTTTCATTTGCAATTGAATATCATTCTAAAGGGAAAACATTATTTTTATTTATTTAAAATAATTAATAACATTTTATACAACAAAAAGTAAAAATATTACACGTGGTTAATTAAACTCCGTTACGACTCTCACTAATTACGGCGTCATTGACAACAGAATAAGGTGGAACAGGTGATCTTGGCAATGACACTTGCAGCGCTACTTTTAGCGCGTAAATTAATTTTACAATTTCTTATTGAATTGTGTAAATAATCAAATATATATAACAAATATCTAATAATTTACATTTGTTCTTCTCTTTACAGGGTCTCTTGCGTACTGCTGAGCAATTAAAAATCAAAGGTCTCTGTGAAACCGCCGAAAATGCTGATGATCTAAATGATGCTGCCACAGCAACTATAACCGTTTCGGAGAATATACAACAAGCCGTAGTTGGTAATATTGTCAATGCTACGGTAGTACCGGGACAATCCTCACCACCCATACCCCAGCAACATCATCACCAACAACAACAGCAGCAACAACAACAGCAGCAGCAACAACAGTTAGCCAATACCGCTGTACTCACACAAGCTGTCAGTCCCAATAGTGCACAACAATTGGCCGCTGCCGGACAATTGGTAACCTCTACACCCATATCATCGCAACAATTAAGCGGTGGTCGTAAATCTAGAGTACGCAAACGTTCAAAATCACCGGATATAATATTGGGACATCACGAACAACAGACCCAACAACAGCAGCAACAACAAAATCAGCAACATCCTCAAGCTATATTAATACAAAATCAAAATCAAGCGGCTATTGTAAGTCTACAGCAGACATCATCTGGAAATTATATACCCGTATCCGGTGTACAAACAGTTACAACTAGTGTAGCAGGCGGTGGACAGCAACAACAACAGGAGGGTGGCTCGGCGATAAACACAGGCGAAGATTCAGATTCGGAAAAGCCAACATTACAAAAAATTTGTAAAACTGAAGCATCATCGGCTTCGCCAGCATCTGCATCTTCGGCATCAGCATCGAATAATGCTGGTGGTGTAACTACCGTAACGGCACCGGGAACAGCAATTGTAACACAAATTGTAGTAGCTAGAGACGGAAAAGATAAAAATATGACTAGTTTAGGCATGGGAATGGTAAGTGGCCGTCAAATAATGTGTATAGCAAGACATACAACAACAATAAAAAAATGGGTGATAAGCTATACGCATCATTTCTGTTCCAGTCAGAATATGATTTAACGATTTTTTTCTTGTTTTGTTTTCTAGAATGGTGGCATTCTAGGAGTACCAATGGGCTTCTTAGATTTTGCCCCAGAACCACCGGCACCATCAGCGACGCCAGTTACGGTTACAGAACACGTAGACTTGTCATGTAACCCCAGTACGGATACCAGAGATTTATCAAGTGAGTATATTTTTGTATTTATATTGCTTAATATAGTTTTAGTAACGTATTGAAATCTAAAACATAAGTTCATATTAGTTTCAAAAATTAAAAAAAAAAAAATATCATCAGAACATATCCATTTTGGGCCCCATTTTAAATTCCTAATTGCATTTCAGTCACAAATGCACGAATTTAGATCAGTATTCTATATAGCTTCATATCATAGATATTTCCCAAAAATCAGTAAAACTTATTTTGCTACAAATTCTTTTCTTACCCATTTTTTAGACCCATCCGAACCGCTCGATATCGACAATCATTTGGCCCAACACATGATACAACGGCTCGATCAATCTCCAATGCACTCGATGCACCATCAAACCGGTGATGAATCAAATTCAAATCTGGTACAGCAAATTAAAAGAGAAGTCCTCGATGCCAAACAGCAGCATCAACAACAGCAGCAGCAGGTTCAACAGCAACAGGCTGCTGCTGCAGCTGCCGCCCATCATCAGGCACAACAACAACAGTTGCATGCTCAACAAATGGCAGAGGCGCAAAGTCAAAGTCATCAACAGCAGCAACAGTCGCATCAGCAACAACAACAATCACACCAGCAGCAACATCATCAACAAACCCACCAACAACAACAGCATCATCAGGACATCACGGGTGCAACAGTGATGGAGATTGATCCGAGCCAAATAAAACATGAACCGGGCATGATAATAACACCGGAAATTGTAAATATGATGACCACCGGGCATATGGGTAAGTTTAGAATTGTAGCAACATGATTTTTAATTATTTACTTATTCATATCTGTTGTTCCCTTTACTTGGTTTTACAGATATGTATAACTCTGATACAAGCGATGATTCGATGATGATTGCCAATGGCTCACCACATGATCAAAATGAACCACACTATACTAATTTAGATCAGCAGCATGGTGGAGATATGAAAGGTCAGTTTAATGGTCCCAAAACTTGGACACAAGATGATATGAATTCAGCTTTAGATGCATTGAAGAATCAAAACATGAGTCTGACGAAAGCATCCGTTACCTATGGCATCCCCTCCACTACACTATGGCAGCGAGCCCATCGCATGGGCATTGAGACACCGAAGAAGGAAGGAGGCACCAAATCATGGAATGAAGACTCGTTAAACAATGCTTTGGAAGCATTACGCTCTGGACAAATATCAGCGAATAAAGCATCGAAAGCCTTTGGCATACCTTCATCGACGCTGTATAAGATAGCTAGACGTGAGGGTATACGATTGGCTGCGCCATTCAATGCCGCACCAACAACATGGACACCTGACGATTTGGAACGGGCATTGGAGGCCATACGTGCGGGTCATACATCCGTACAGAAGGCAAGTGCTGAATTTGGTATACCAACAGGTAAGCTTTCCAGTCATTTTTTTTTTTCAATTTACATTAAGATGATTATTCATGGCAAACTTTGTGTATGGTTATTCTTGGGCTGTGAAATTGATTTTTTTTTTAATTATTTCATTTTTTATAAGAATGTATATAATTCGTTTTATTTGTATTCCTTCCTGATATGTGCAAACCCAAAAGGTACCCTCTATGGTCGTTGTAAACGTGAAGGCATCGAATTATCACGCTCCAATCCTACTCCCTGGTCGGAAGATGCTATGAATGAAGCTTTGAATTCAGTGCGGTAAGAACAGTTTATCATGTTGAATAATTTGATTACATTAAGAGAGATTTGTATTAATAAATGATTTTTTTTATTCTATAGAATTGGCCAAATGTCCATCAATCAGGCTGCTATCCATTATAATTTGCCCTATAGCTCTTTGTATGGCCGTTTTAAACGCGGTAAATATGATGTCTCCAATACAAGTGGAACTTCCATAAATAATACATCGGGCAATACATCGGGTAGCATTGAAATTATCGAACACAGTCAAGAGAATTCGGTAAGTTGTTAGACATTTTTGTGTATATACTACTTTTTTATGTGTTTTTTGTGTATTTATTTTTTGCTTTTATTGATTTTATATAGAAATGTCGTTGAATAGGATTTAGAAAATCAATGTTTAAATGAGTAATTAGAAGATGTCAATCAGGAAGAAACTGCAAAAATCTTAATAAAATTTAAGGGAAATACCAGCAAATCCAATCAAATTAACATACATCCATCCCATGGTTTGTTTTTTAAGAATATGTACTCAAACGCCACCAGCTCCAAAGATGTGATTTTTTTATGAATATTTTTTTAAGAACAACAGTTCCAAGGGCTCGGATTTTTGAAATATTTTTTTTTTCAAATGCTAACAATTACAAAGTCGGGAATTTATGTAAGAATATTTTGTTTTAATACCAACACTTCCACATGTGTGAATTTTTAAGAACATTTGTTTTAAAGACCAACATCTCCCATGTCCTTGATTTTTAATATTATTTCAAATGACGAAACAACTTCAAAAACGGTGGGCGTATATCACCGAATAACAATGGAGTCTCCGATAAAAGATAAACCTTTTATTCGGTTTTGTTAACCAAAATAGATTCCACTGAAAACCCGGAAAATGTTAAGTTACAAATTAAACGACATTTCTATACAAGATCCCTAACAAATCATTTAAAACTACTTAATTTTTAATATATTTGTTTATAACAAATGTATTTATATATGTATTTTTTATTATAATTTCATAATATGCTGCTGTGTCACACAACATCTCCATTTTGTTAATCTCATTATTATTTTTTATATCTCTATTTTTTGTTTTAACTCTTCAACACAACTACTACTACTACTACTACTCCCCCTTAATTTGAATTCAACAATTATTACAACAACACATAAATTTATCAAGTTGCCTATGTTTCAGCAACAATTCCAATATAGTCCATCACCGCATCAGCACGGTGGCAGTAGTACACCGCAACAAAGCCAAACACCACAACATCTGCAACAACACGTAGTCCATATACAGCAGCAACAACAACAGCAGCAGCAACATCATCAGCAGCAATCGCAACATGCCCAACATATCCAACAGCAACAGGATGTTGTTACCTCATCGAGTCAGCAGCAGCAAGTTCAGCACGCCAGCAATTCAGCCGCAGCGGCATCACAGCAACAACAACAACAGCAGCAACAACAACAAATTCAGCAGATCTATCATCACCACAGTACACCCGAGAGAAGTTGAGAATCACTGCAAGTGGTACCAGCAGCAGCTACAGTTGCAGCCGCTGCTGTAGCGGCTGCGGCAGCAGCAGCCAATTTAAGTATCGGCGGCGTTGGTCATCATACAACAACAACACATCATCAGCAACACCATCATAGTGCAACAAGCTCCACCTCGATGGCAGCCGCCAACAAACGCAAGAAATCATCAAAATCAAAACGTTGAATGCGTTTCGAACGTTTTTATTTTTATTGAAAATAAAAAAATAATAATTGAAGAGCAAAAGCAAAAAAACAACAACAAAAAATGTTTTTGGGACTGATTGACCTATACATAAACTACACACACACACATACAGAGATACAGATAAGGCAGAGAGACAGACAGGATAAATACAACAAACAACATTTTAATTAAAATAAATAAAAAAACTTAAAAAAAAGAATAAAACAATTTAAAACGGAGTATAAGATCAATAACATCAAGTATAAGACATTAGAATCTATAAATCCGTAAAAAAATCATTGTAAAATGGAAATATTTTTAAATTATATAAAAAAAAAAAATAATATTAGTAATATAACAACAATATAATTATTATTAATAATAATTAAATCAAATCATGAAGAATTAAAAAAACATGAAAACAAAAAACTAATGTTAAAAAACGGAAAAATAAAATCAAACAAGGTATACCAATTTATTTAGATTTAACAAAAAACAACAACCACAAAACCACAAAAATCTATTTAAATTTAGTAGATTTGTGTAAACTGAATAGACATTTCATTTTATTTCAAATAATATCACTGGCAACAAATAGAGATAGGAGGAGGTGAAATCAACAGTCCCCTCCAAATTTAGATTATCTGCTAAAATATGATTTTATTTAAATTATTTAATAAATATATTATATTCTTAGAGGATAACAGAAATATCTTGTTTGAGTAACCTCCCCTCCAGAAATTTTAAAATAAAGAATTCAAAATTTCAATATTTCTTTTTGGAAAAGGCAAAACTAATTTTTTGTGGCCACACAATTTTCATCAGGCCTAACTTTGTTATGCCTCCAAAAGAAAATTTTCTCTCTATGTTGATTTCCCAATTTTTTACTTACTTTCAACACACACACATATTTTTCTGTATAATACATGAGTTGATAATAACAGCTGGACAGGATGCGGATGTGGATATTATTTGGGTGTTTTTTACGTTTCTTTTCTCTAGTTTTAAGGTTTAAGTTTATTATTATTTTTTATTAAAATAAAGGAAAACAAAACAACTATTATTTCATAATTTAAGTATGGATTTTTATAAGAAATAGATGATGTTGATGAAGAAGAATAAAAAATATAAAAAAAAACTATTGTAATAAAAATATACAACAACAACAAACAAATAGAGTTAACAACAGCAAAGAATGATTTATTTATAAATGGAGTTTTATTATAAATGTTTTCTTCTTGCGTTTCAATCAATTAGTTTGTAATATCAATCTACCTACCTACCAATCAACCAACCAACAACAAACTCACTCAATACCTAAACACTAGACTATATATAAAGAAAGAAACACGAAAAACAACAACCACAAAACTGTTAAACAAAATATTTAATTAAAAACAAAATAAAACATAAAACAATGTTCATTATTTCTTTTTAAGAATTTCCTTTTTAATATATATTTTTTTGAATTAAAAAAAAAACTACAACAAGAAATTTTATTGTAATTATAATGGTTCCATTTAGAGCTAATTTTTGTTGACTATTTTTTTCGTTTTGAAGAGGAGGTGTTGTATTATAAAAGGAGAGGAAAAACATTTTATTTTTGAAACATTAAAAAAAAAACTCACCCAAACCCCATAAAAGGAAGAGGATTTTTATTCAATGAATTACATATATATTTATATACGAATTTTGTGAACTACATAACAACATACCCCCCCGCCCTTTTACATAATTTTGTATTTTATATAATTTTTCTTTTTCTTCTTTTTCGACTTTTAATTGGTATTGATGAAAGTAGTAGTCTTCTCGTATACCATTGTAGCATTACACTAGTTATCCTTTAAATGTAAAATCATTAATATATCTATACATAATATATATATAGAATTCAAATTTAATCTAATTTTTCTAAGTAGTGTTTTCAAGTAAGAAAATTTCTCAACTCAAACAACCAACCCTTTTATGAATAATTTAAACAAAAAAGGTACTTTTTCTTTTATTTTTTAATAAAGAGCTTTAAATTTGTTTAATTTAACAAATACATAAACTATTCTTTTATTTATTTTATTAAAATAGGAGAAAATAAATGCAATATTATGCAACTAAAAAAAGTTCTCAAAAAAAGTCGAAAAATATTTTTTGAAAAAAATCTAATTTTTCATTGTAATTAATATTCCAAATTAAATTCAATTGCCAAGACAATACTGTTCAAAAAAAAAAAAAAAATGATGACACCCTCCCTTTCAATTTTAATTACATTTTCTCCAAAGCTAGGTATTACAAATTTCTCGAAAAAGGAAGAATAGAAAATGAACCGGGGTATATACACTTTTTATTTTGAAAAAAAAATCAACAAAATATTGGTATTGTTTTTTTTCTAAAACAAAACAATCTTAAAATTCTCTCATGTTTTCCGATTCAATAGAATTTTCCCTATATTGCAATAATAATTCCCATGGGAAATTTCTAGAAGTGTAGCAGCAATTCACTCGAAATCTGCAACATCTTCGTCGGTGAAGATCTTTTTTTGTATACGACTTGTATTTTCATACACAACATGGACCATCTAGGCTCCATGTGCATTCAGTTGGACCATTCATAATCCTATTTTAGGTATGAACTCCTCAGTATTTTTTTTTTGTACCCGGAAGCACTCCGATGATTTTCAAAATAAATTTCTCCCCTTTGATAATACCGTTTGAGAATATTGAATAGGTCCAATGGGTATTTTCTTAAATTATTTTAAAACTCAATTAGATAACCCATTTATGGGATCTAATTCGTTTTACAAGAGGTACTTTTAAATGGCAATGGCAATTCAAAACATCTATGAATTTTCATCTCTATATTGTTCCCCATAACATCTCAATTATTATATTGAATTGAATATTGTCTCAAAAAATTTTCAAGAACGAAAAAATTAAAAAAAAAAAATACGGAAATTGGGAAAAATCGTTTAAGACAAATTCCAAATTTCCAGGGTTTTTTTAATTAGTGGTGTTATTTTGATAAAAATAAATTCCCAAATAAAAAACGATTGTTTTACCTGATTAATTTTTCTGAAATCCCCAAAATTGCTCTGATAATCTCTTCAATTTTTTTTTACAAAAAAATCAATTTTTACAATGTTAATTAATTGTATTTGGATATTCAATTTTTGGGATATTTCAATTAAATGGAATTTATTTTGTAAAAATAATTTTTAATAAATCATCATTTTCCACCATTATGAACCACACCAACTCTTAAAAAATAAATAATCACAATTTCTCAAAGAATTCTTTTAATTTTAGAATTTCAAAATTATTATTTAAAAAAAAAAAACTCAGAATTGCTCTGATGGCAATAAATCCATCATTTTCTTTACAATATTAATTATTTGTATTCCGATTTCCAAATTCTGTTATTTCAGTTTAAAAATTCAAAAAATTATCTGAATTTTGTAAAAAATATTATTTTCCATCCATTTTCCATTGTTTAGTGAAAAAACGTTTCTAAATTTGGAAATATTTAAATTGTTTTCCATCCTTTTCTAATAGACCGCCTCTACTCAAAAAAAAGAAAAAATATATATTCACAATTTCTTTAAGAATTCTTTTTATTTTAGAATTTTAAAGTACTAATTAATATTACTATTTTATAAAATGTAATATACAAAAATAAATAATCTTAAAAAACTCTCCGATCCCCCCGAAAGCAAATAAAAAAAAAACAGAAGAAAAGTAAATATATTTAAAATAACAACAAAAAAAACTCGAAAATTACAATTCAATTTAAATGTAAAAATAAATAGAATTTAATTTTAATTAACAAAAAAATAAATATTAAAAATAAATACCCAAAATCCTCCTACATTATTATTAATAAATAACTCTGTAAACTACAAACAACAAATTAACAATAATAATGTTATAATTTAATAAAAAAAATTATATTTTTTCTTTTTGAAATAAACTGTAGTATAAAATACATAATAGTAAACATTATTGATTTTAAGTAAGAAAATACATTTAAAATATTACAAAATATATATAAAATGGAAGAAAAAAAGAAATGAAACACCCTTTAAATTTTAGAAAATTAATATTAAACAAAATGAACTTTAAGGCTTAGGCGATTAAGTGAACCATTATCGTTATAAACAACAACAACAAAAACAACACACACACAAAGAACAACAACCAACCAACAACAACATTATGAAAAGAAACAGTTTAATGGATTATAAAATAATATAAAACTAAATAAAAAACAACAACATAAAATTACCGAAAAAAATTAAAAATTATTCAATAAAAATAATTATTAAATATAATAAACTAAAAATAAAATATTTTATTGTTTGTTTTTTCTCTATGGCAGGGGGTAAAAAAGGGAATAATATAAGTTTTTATAAACATTAAAAAATGAAAAAAATTTTAATTAAATATTAGTAACTATTTTTTATACCCTCAGGATCACTAATATATTTTATAAATTATGAAAAAAAACATCATTTATGGGTCAAGCCGTCAATTTTCAATATCGTCACATGCCGTCCAAATCGACCATAATGTTTGTTTTGTATTTTAATGTTAAAAATAGTCGATTTTTAAATATATCATTTAACTCTCACATAATGTCGATTTTCTCTTATATAACATATATTTCTATATGTATTTTCAATATAGAATAAAACTTTGGAATTTCCTCTAACCATTTTTGAAAAATTTATAAAAATCGGTTAAGTAGTTGCTGAGTTATTTGCATTTAAAGTCAACGATGTTGCGAAATATACTTACTGTTCGGTTCTGTTCGCCTATTATCTTAAAATGAAAATCAACACACATTTTGTTTTGTTGATTCCCCCAATAAGATAACAACTAACTCACTTGTGCCTAAAAGTATGCTTTGAATTACAACCGCCTTTAATGAAAATTCGTCTGAATAGCGCCATCTATTGATGTGAAAAGTCCCTAAATTAAGTTTTCATTGAAGGTGTTTGTAATTCGAAGTATACTTTTAGGCGCAAGTAAGTTATTTCCTACCACCCACCTTATTTGATTGATATTTGACAAAATAAAATGTGTGATTTTTCATGTTCATGTAATAGGCGCCCAGCACCGAACAGCAAGGGATATTTTGGAACATCGTTGAATTCAAATTCAAATAACTCGGCGAAAACTTGACCGATTTTTATAAATTTTGCAAAAAATGGTTAGGGGTAATTCCAAAGATTTATTACATATTGGCAATACATATAAAAACGGATGTTATATATAACGAAAATTAGCATTATGTGAAAGTTGAAAGATATTTCAAATATCGACTGATTTTTTTTTTTTTTTTTGTTTAATTAAACAAATAGACGCTATCTTTGTTCGTTTTATTCAGGAAATTGTGCATAGCGTATTGAATTTTTTAAAGTTCGTTTTTTTTAAATTTAAAGGATTTTTAATAGATGAACTCTTATTTTTTTCTAACCTGGGATATTTTCCAGCTTCCTCATTATTAATTATAGAAATCCATTAAATTTAATTAAGTTTATATAGTTTTAAAGTTACATCCCGTATGTACTTACCCCTTCAAATAATTAAAATTCCAAAAATCATTTTTTGTTTTTGTTTTATTAAATACTATATATATTATATTGCTTATTCAGTTACTTTTTATTTGTATTTATTTTTATTTTTTAATGTTTATAATTAATATTTTCGTATATTATTATTTTTTATTTTAAATATATATAGTAGTAATAATGAATATATATTATATAAAATACATTTGACAATATCACAACTGTACATAATTTTAAATTATTATATTATATATATTATTTTTGTATCGCTCACATATTAGTAATAATTTTAATTGGCTATATATGTATCATCATCTTTATTATATTCTTTCAATGTTGGTTATAGTTCGTTTCTAACTTAAATATGTCTTTTATTTAAAGTTTTTTCTTCTCTCTACATAAAAAATAAAATAAGAAATGTGTTTAAACTGATTCGGTCTAATTTCAAAATTTTTTTTTGTTTAGATGTGAAAAAAATTATATATACTAGATTGCATATCAAAATGAATGGATTGAAATGAAAAAATGTATTTAAAAAATCATACATTGTATTAATAAGTATTGGACTTTATCGAAAAAAAAATGAATAAAAATAAATAAATTTTTCAGTACAAATTTTGAAAAATATTTTTCTAAGAAAAAAATATTTTTTTCCTATGAAAAAAAAAATCCTAAGAAAAATATATATATCCTATATAAAGATATTTTTCCTAAGGAAAAAATATAAATTATAAAAATTTCTTCTAGGCGAATAATATTTTTTTATATACAGAAAAAAATATCTCAAAAAAAAATAAAAAAGAAAAGAAAAGTCTCTAATTACTGCAATGCAAATTTTTCCTATGGAAAAAATTTTCATTCACTGAGGAATATATTTTTAGTATTCTATGTATGTATTATTATTATCACTGAATACACATTTCCTGATATTTGTGAATAAATATGTCCAAAAAAAAATGGTCTCAGTCAGTGAGGAAAAATTTATTTTCTTTAGTGGACAATTCGTTGCTTTTTTATATGAAAAAAAAAAAAAATCTGTCACTAAACACAAATTTTTACAATAAAAAAAATCCTCAGTCATTGAGAAACATTTTGATAACTATAGAAAAAATTGTACGTCACTACAGAAAAAATTCTTCTATAGAAAAAGATTCTCTATCAAGGGCAATTTTTGTTTCTATAGGAAAAAGGTCTGAATCACTAAAGCCAAATTTTTGTATATAGGAAAAAATATCTTTAACCGAGGAAAATTTTTCTATAGAAAAAAATCCTCAGAAACTGAGGAACATTTTTTTAATTTAGGAAAAATACTGAGGCCAAATTTTTGTTTATAAAAAAGTCACCAGCAATTGATTAAATCCGCAGTTGCTGTGGACAATTTTTTCTATAGAAAAAAATTCTGACAAATATAGAAAAATATCTACTTTTAAGAAGACAATTTTTAGAAAAATTTGTTTGTATAGAAAAAATGTTTTTAACTGAGGAAAATATAGAAAATATTTTTCTGAAACTAAGGATTTTTAACAGACTTTTTCTATAGAAAAATGTTCTTTGAAAAATGATTGTCCTCGCCGATATTACTTCTATAGAAAAAATGTAACTGAGGTCACTATGTCATACCGGGATTTTTTTTTAGAAAACTGGATCTGGTGGACTCAGAGATTGTCTTTGAAAAAACCTATGTAACATTGTTTTTTCGTATAGCAAAAATGTGGTCACAGTGACTGACTCCATAGAAAAAATAATTATCTCATTGACTGAGTAATAATTTTTCCCAACAAAAAATTTACCTCATTGACAGGGGTATTTTTTTTCTATATAAAAAAATTGTGTCAGTCATAGAAGTTTGTTCCAAAGAATAATCGAGATATTAGATTTAAGAGAATAATATGTCACAGGAATATTTTTAAAAATGTTTTACCAAGAAAACTCTGAACACTTTAGCGAGAATATTGAAGAATAATTTAAAGAGGTCTATCAGGGGCAAGGACGTAGACTGAGGATTTTTTCAATATAGGGAAAATACTTCCAATTCCTTATTTAATTAAAGTCCTAAGCAATTGATTAAATCCTTGGTAGCTGAGGACAATTTTTACTATAGAAAAAAATTCTGAATCGCTTAAGACAAGTATTTTTTGTTTATAGAAAGAAATCGTCTGTAGTATTGGAATTTTTTTCTAAAGAAAAATGTCTACTTTTAAGAGGACAATTTTTTCCTATAAAAATGTTTCAGCGGCATTCAGACATGCCTTTTTTTCTATAAAAAATTTGTCATCCTAAGTTAAAGATTTTTTATAAAAATTTTAGTTTAATGATTACATAAAATTTTTTTCCCTAGTAAATGAGGATTTGTTTTATAGAAAAAAATGTCCTCAAAGTTTGAGCATGTTTATGGAAAATGTTTTACTATCTAGCTGAGGATTTTTTTCCTATGGAAAGAATTATTCCCCACTGAGAATTTTTTCTAGATTATTTCTAAAGAAAAAAATTCTTAATCACTGAGAAATAAAAAACGGACATTTTTTCTATAGAAACAGATTCTGCCATACTGATTTTTTATTTGCCATTGAGGACGAAACTTTTTTTCTCACTGAGGACTTTTCCTAAATGTTCAAAAATGTTATGGAAATCCTCTTTATCCTGTTACACTCTCTCAGTTACTGTTTTTTTTTTCTATAGACAAACAATATATTCATCACTGAGAATGAAACTTTTTCTCACCGAGGACAATTTCTAAATCTTCAGTAGTTATATGGAAATCCTCTTTTTGCTGTTTATCCATTCATTTCGTATACACCTTGTGCAAAAAACACTTTCGACCTTATAATACAAAAAATTACAACTATTAACTTAATAACAAACTTATCATCGTACAGAATATTAGAAAAAAAACATTGCTGTGACAAAAAAATTAAATTATTTTAAAAAAATTAACACTAAAATTCATGAAAGGAGGAATCGTAACATTAAAAAAAAAAAGATTAGTAATTTGAAATAGTCAGCCGGTAATGAAAACATCTGTGCCTCTTATAAAATATACAAAAAAATTATATGTATCGTATATAAACTATTTGAATGTGTTTTACACATTTTTAATATACTAATAAAAAATTAAAAAAAAATAATAATAATAAAACACTTTATATAAAATAATCCCCTTCCCGATCTCACACAATATCACCCGGTGCTCCATAATTAAGACCATTATTACGATGATGTCCCGGGGCATGATGATGATCCATATGATGATCCTGTTCCATTTGTTCCTTGAGAATTTCCAATTCACGTATACCCGATACGGTTACTTCGTATTTATGCGTCACCAGTGACCGATAGAAATGTATGGCAAAGGCCAGGAAAATAACGAGTACGGGTATGAGAACAATACACGCCGACCATGCAGCCGGCTGGCTAAGATCATAGAATTTAACCCAACATAGGATGGCAATTTCGAGTAGGAAAAGTATTAGACCCAGTAGGGTTGAAAAGGCCCATGCCGTTTCGATATACCAATGCAGACGCTCATGGGGTGATTCATGCACCAGCGAGATGCTGTGCAAATTGCACACAGTCTCAATATTCGGCAGTATACAGGTGCTGATCATCAGGGCCAACATGTGGACGGCGACAAGCAGCGTGGTACAGATGGCAAAGGCGACCAGCATGCCGGCGGGTACTTGGGTATCATTGTTCAATTGGACTTCTACCATGGCAACCTGCAAGAAAAAAAAAAACAGAGATGAAGACGGATGTTAGAAAAATATTCAAATACAATGGACAGAGTAAATACAGATGGAAAGATAATGTCAAAACTAAAAGTACTTAAACAAAAAAATGAAATATTAACAAATTTTAAATATTTAAATAAAAAAATAAATGCTGAAGTTAAAAATAGGAAATAACAAAATAAACTATTTCAAAACTAAATGTATTCCACAATCTTAATACGCATAACAAATTTTAATTTTATTTTATTTTGGGATTTTTTATAAAAATTCATTCATTCTATTTGTTGGCACTGCCTGATGGCAAGAGTTCCCAAAAATAAAAATAGAACATCATGTGCTAAATGCTACGTAATTAGCAAATATTCCCTTCTATTTTATCGGAATCATTATCAAAGTAAACCTAACTAAATCGTAAGGAAATACAACTACAAGACAGATAAATTTAATCACAGGTAGCTGGTATTTGAAATTATTTTTAAACATTGCAGATGGTTGACTACAAAAACAACCTTGACAAAAAAATAATATTTTTCAGTCACTGAGGAGAGACTTTTTCTAAAGAAAATTCTTCTCTCGGAAACTGAGAATTTGTCTTTGAAAAATTATTGTTCTCGTCGATTTCTATAGAAAAAATTTAACTGAGGTAACTCTGTGATCCACGTATTTTTTTTATAGAAAATTGGATCTGGTGGACTCAGAGATTGTCTTTGAAAAATAAAATTTGACTTCTGTAACTCAGTGACTGGAATATATTATTCTCTATAGAAAAAAATTATATATATATATATATATATTGTTTTCTATAGAAAATATCTGGTGGTCTCAATGAATGACAGAATTTTTATAAATGTTTCACCAAGAAAATACTCAGAACGCTAAGAGAACATTTTGAAGAAGGAGACGATTTGTTAGAAGAAACTTTAGCGTGGGGTTTTAATGGAATTTTATAGGAGTGACCTGGGAGTGTCAACAGGCAAGGACTTTTAAAGATTTTTTAAGGATCCCGATATAGTCGAGGATCTTTTAAAGATTTTTTGTAGGGATCCATAGTCATGGATTTTCGAGACAGAGATTTTATAACCAATATTTTTAGGCGCCATAACAGGATTGGATTTTTTAACGATTTTTTCCTGGATCACCTGCACGATGAATGCGATTTTTATACCCTTCAGCACACTGTGGTACAGGGTATTATGTCTTTGTGCATATGTTTGTAACAGGCAAAAGGAATCGAGATAGATCCATGGTTCCTTTTGAGAATATGCATAGAATCACTTTCTGAGTCGATTTATGCATGTCCGTCCTTCCCTCCGTCCGTCTGTTGATGTTAAATTTTAAACAAAGTACAGGTCGCATTTATAATCCGATTTAGATGAAATTTGACACAGCTCATTAATTTGGCCCTATTGAATTTAGAACAAATCGGTTAAGATATATATTTTTGTCCGATTTTATGTAAATGGTGCACCAAAGCCCCTGTATAGGTTTCGATTTGCACGAAATTTGGTATACCCTAATGAATTAAGTCTAGAATGATGTGTGCTAAATTACATGAAAATCGGTTCAGATTTAGATATAGCTCCCATATATATTTTCGCCCGATTTTAGGCAAATGGTGCACCAAAGTCCCTGAAAATCATTTGATTTGCACGAATTTTGGCACAGTGTACTAAATTAAGTCTAGAATGATGTGTGCTAAGTTTCATGAAAATCGGTTCAGATTTAGATATAGCTCCCATATATAGTGTCGCCCGATTTTAGGTAAATGGTGCACCAAAGTCCCTGAAAATCATTTGATTTCCACGAATTTTTTGCACAGCGTACTAAATTAAGTCTAGAATAATGTGTGTCAAGTTTCGTGAAAATCGGTTCCAATTTAGATATAGCTTCCATATATAGATTCGTCCGATTTTAGGTAAATGGTGACCCAAAGACCCTATATATTGTTTGATTTGCATGAAATTTGGTATACCCTACTGAATTAAGTCTAGAATGATGTGTGCCAAATTTCATGAAAATCGGTTCAGATTTAGATATAGCTCCCATATATATTTTCGACCGATTTTAGGTAAATGATGCACCAAAGTCCCTAAAAATCATTCGATTTGCACGAATTTTGGCACAGCATACTAAATTAAGTCTAGAATGATGTGTGCCAAATTTCATGAAAATCGGTTCCAATTTAGATATAGCTTCCATATATAGATTCGTCCGATTTTAGGTAAATTGTGACCCAAAGTCCCTATATATGTTTCGATTTGCACACAATTTGTTATACCCTACTGAATTAGGTCTAGAAGGTTGTGTGCTAAGTTTCGTGGAAATCGGTTCAGATTTAGATATAGCTCCCATATATATTTTCGCCGGTTTTAGGCAAATGGCGATTTAGTTAAATGACATTTCGGCATAGCGTACCGAATTAAGTCTAGAATAATGTGTGCTAAGCTTCGTGAAAATCGGTTCAGATTTATATACACCTCTTATATATATTTTCGTCCGATTTTAAGTAAAGATCCATAGCTACGCCGATTAACGCAACGTACTGAAGTTAATATAAATTAATCTCTGCAATTTTCCTGGAAATCGGTTCAGATATAGCATAGTTTCTATGTATTCGACCTATTCATGTTAACTGTAAACCAAGTCATCAATGGATGTCTGATTGAGATTAAATATTAAACCGTGCAGCACACCAAGTAGCGTGTGTCAAAGTTTGCTTTAAATCGATTTACAAAATGTAGCAAAGGTTGCAGAATGTCATGTGTAGGGATTGATGTTAATCGGTTTAGATATAGATAAAGATCACATATTTCAGTTCGTTCAATTTCATGTCAATGTTGCTTCAAAAAGGCGACATCTGTTAGGATACATATGTAGAATATAACCAAAGTGGTGAAGGGTATCATATAGTCGGTCCAGTCCGACTATACTACTTTTCTTTACTGGTTAGATTTTAAAAAGAATAATTTATCCTGGATTTTTTAGAATATTTATAGGAGTCGATTTTTAAAAGAATATTTTTTCCTGGACTACCAACAGGCGTGGATTTTTAAATAATTTTTTTTGCGATTTTTCAAAGGATATTCCTTCCTGGATCAAGGCATGGATTTTTGAAGAATATTTTTTCTTTGTGGATTTTTTATAGAATATTTTTCCATAACCATAGGGGTGGAGATTTTAAGGGAGATTGTAAAAGAACTATCTCCTCCATAAACGTTGATTATGAAAATATTTCTACAATGTGAATATTTTTTGGCAATTTTGCATTAGACCCCTATGCAAGGATCTTTAAAGAAAATATATGCAAGGATTAACTTTGACATAAGCATGGAACTTTTTATAAGCCCTGATAATGGATTTTTAAATTATCCATTTAGAATTTTTGAAGACCTGGGTACGTCAGGAACAGACAAGTATTTTTTTAATATTTTTATATGAACCTCCATTCAAACCCACAAGCATTGAATTTGACTATTTTTACAAAGACCAACTGAACCAAAAGTGTGGATCGGAAAAATATTTTTCCAAGAACCAACTGTAACTTACTTTGGATTTCCAAGAAAAATTTTTAACAGTGTCATCAGAACCATTATAGTAGATTAGAAATGTTTTAGAAATACTATTAAATCCAAAAGCGTTAATTTCCCTATGAATATTTTTGAAGTACCATCAGATAACATTATAGTAAAAACGAATAATCTATCTAAAAATATTCATACATTTTGCTGCTTCTTTCTACTATAGAAGGTCTCAAGGGCTTCTTTTGTTGCCTATATAAGGGCCTCTATCATCTATAGAAGCGTATAAGGCATTCTATCGCATATAGAATGTCTCTAAGGGATTCTGTCGTCTATAAAAATCCTCTAAGGGCCATGGTTTTTGTCTACAAAATTCTCTTAGGGCATTCATCGTGATCATCTACAGATGACCTCAAGGTACTTATATCGCCTATGAAATACCTCTAAGAGTTACATTCCTCCAGAGAAGATCTGATATTATCTATTATAGAAAAATAAATTCCCGAACAGAGAAAACATTTTTTTTTTAATTTTCAGCAAAAACTGAATAAAAAATATTTTCTTGACTCTGAGAGAACATGATACAAAGAGCATTCGAAAACGAAACAAAAAATAAAAACAATTAATTAATTGTCAAAGAGTTCATTACCTTGAACTTTGGGCATTGCACCCTAAGAGTGCAGCTAATTTTAATTCATAATGTGGAAAATTGAAAAAAAATAAAAATAAAAAAATATATGTTTGTCGACAACGTAAGCAAAATGACGTAACTAGTGCGCGGTCTGCATAAAATACAATTTAGCATTAATTTGTCACCAAAAAATTAAAAAAAAAAACAGTAATTATAAAAAAAGTGTAAAACAATTTATGTGGCTGGCCACCCTCACAAATTGCATATAGCTCCTCTACGACAAATTTTCATTGTGAAAATTTACGTAAAGAGAGACAAATTCCCAGGGAGAGAGAGATAGGTAGATAGAGAGTAGAACAATGAATGCTGTTGAATTTTTATATTGTGTGGGGATGCATCTATCAGTTTCCTCGTGATTAAATTTTTGTCTGTCCCCTGATTTTTTTTTGTATTTTCGTAAAATTTTCATCGGTGTTTCTTCTATTCTATCCCCAGATAATTTCCTGTGTCGTTAATCTTTGTTATGTTATTGTGAAAATTTGCATCAATTGATCGGTTGTTGTTTTTTTCTGGTAATCACTTCCCATTGGTAATTACATCCGAACAGATTTTTTGCTAATGGAAAATGGGATGTAGATACAAAGTTACAGGTGAATGTGTGGGTGTTTTCATAGAAAATCTACTATAAGGGTCTTATGAAATAAATTCCAACATACGGCTCTGATGGGCATTCTGAAAATAATTAAAAAGTCTTTAAATCCTCGCTGGTGGTTCCATCCAAGAAAACTATGTAAAATTTGGTTAAGGACTCTGGTGGCTAATCCTGCTATAAAAAGAAAATATTTCGGCATCCGAACGCCTTTATATTTTTTTAAAGACCATTTTAATGATTCAATAATAGTTCTAAAAATATTTTTAAAAAATTAGAGCCAAGGGAATGAAGAAAGAAAGATTTTCTTTCTAAAAAGATCAGGCTTACGGTTCGGATGGTCTTCCTACAAAAATCCGGGCTGAGATAAAATGTTGTTAACAAAATTGACGCTTAAGGCCCTTGAGGTCCTTGTAAAAATACTGTTAAAAAAATCCAAGCCGTAGGCTTTGATGGTCCTTGTAAAAACATTGTTTAAGAAGTCCTCGCTTAAGGTCCAGATGGTCCACGCTTCAGGTTAAAATTTCTTACAAATATTCAGAAAAAAACTTTATTCAAAAATTCGGGACCTTAGGGGGTCCTTGTAAATAATATAGTTTACAAATCCAAGCGTCAGGTCCTGATGGTTAAACAAATCGAGCCTAAAATCATGATGGTTTTTATAAAAATATTGCTCAAAAATCCACACTTCAGAATATGGTTAAAAAAATCGAGCATAAGGACATGATGATTTCTGTAAAAATATTGCCTAACAATCACGCTAAAGGTCCTGATAATCCATTTAAAAATATTTTTTAATATTTAAAATATATTTAAAATATTTTGTTAAAAATTCACGATTAAGGTCCTGGTAATCCTTGTAAAATTATTTTTTAAAAAAATCCATCAAGGTCCTTGTAAAAATATTCTTAGAAAACCAACCGTCCTTATATAAATATATATATTTTTTTTTAAATTCACGCTTAAGGTTCTGATGATCCTTTTAAAAATTTTGTTTGAAAAATTCACGACTAAGGTCCTGATGATCCTTGTAAATATATATTTTTTTTTTAAATCCATACATACATAAGGCCCTAAAGGCCTTTGTAAAAATATATTTTTTTAGCTTTGCTTAAAGTCCTGATTCGTATTTTCATCTGATGGTCTTAAAAAGCCTATAGAAGTCTCTTAAATGTTTCTACGGACCTCTGTCGTCGATACAAAGTCTCTGAAAGATTATGCCATTAATAGGAGGCCTCTAAAGAATTCTATTGTCCATTAAAGATCTTAGAGAGTTGTCTTTAAAAATCATCACGATTAGGGTTCTGATTGTTCTTTCAAAAAAGTTTGATCTATAAAGGGTCCCAAAGTATTTAGAAGGTGTCGAAAGGGTCGTCGATGGAGGGTTTGGAAAGGTTTTCTATCGTGTTAAATAGTGGGGCTGGTCCTTCCAAAAAATCTTAAACGTCTATCGTATATATAAAGCGCATAAGGCCTTCAAAGTGATACTTAAAGACTATTGAAGGTATCTAAGCGTCTATAATGGACATCTGAGGGCTTATATAACCAGTAGATGACATCTAAAATCTTCCATCACTCATAGAAGGGTTCAAGGGCATTGGGTCAAGTCAAAGGATCTCAAGGGTCTTCTCTATCGTCAATATGAAAATTATGTCATTAATAGGAGGCTTCTAAAGAATTATATTGCCCATGAAAGATCATAGAGAGTTATGTTTGAAAGGCATCACGATTTGGGTTATGATAGTTCTTTCAAAAAGGTTTAGTCTATAAAGGGTCCCAAAGTATTTAGAAGGCCTCAAAAGTGTCATCGGTGGAAGGTCTCGAAAGGTCTTCTATCGTGTTACTGGTTTTTCCAAAAAATCGTAAAACGTATATAGAGTGCTTATAAGGTCTTTAGAACGACACTAAAGGTGTATTGAAGGTATTTAAGGGTCTATAAGGGGCATCTGAGGGCTTCTATAGCCTATAGATGGCCTCTAAGGCCTTCCATCACTCATAGAAAGCTTCAAGGGCATTGAGTCATCGTCAAATGTTCTCTAGGGTCTTCTGTCGTCGATATGAAGCCTTTATAGTCTACAGAATGATTCAAAGAGATTTCTTTAAAAAAATCACAAAACCTTAAACGTCCTTGAAATGTCTATTGTCTATAGAATATCCATATGGGCTCAGATCATCGTTAGAAAACCTCTAGAATGGTTCTAAAGGTCTAATGGAGATCTAAGGGTTTATGCTGTCTATAAAAGGCATCGAAGTGCTTCTATAGTCGATAGTCGGCCTCAAAGGGATTTGGTTCGTCGGTAGATGTTCTTTAAGCTATTTTGTCGATATGAGGCCTCTAGGAACTTCTATCGTCTACGGAAGACCTATGAAAGCTCTCTTTGAAAGAATCACAAAACTCCCCAACGTGTCTAAAACGTCTTTCGTCTATAAAATATACATAAAGGTTACATCCGTTCGGTAGGAGACCTCTAAAATGGTTCTCAAGGACTTCTATAGCTTATAAAAGGATTCTAGGGACACATTTCGAATATTGAATGTCACTGAAGGCTTCTATTGTAAATAAGGGTTGCAAGGGGCTCTATCGTCGTGGTCTATGGAACGCTTTCAGGGGTTCTCTCGTCTGTAAAGGTATTGTATAGCAGACATTAAAGGCCTTCGATATACAATAGAAGACAACGATATAAGACTCTTACGGTTTTCGAATAAGCCTTAAGAGTCTTTCTATAGACGATGGAGACCATTAAAAGACGATAAAAGGCCGTAGAGACCTTTCAATGAGGATAGAATCCATTATGGACCTTATAGCGATGATAGCATCCCTTAAATGCCTTCGATATACAATAGAAGACTTCAGATAACTTTAATAGTCGAAAGGCGATCTAAAGGCCTTTATAGACTGCCTTTAGGTCGCCTTTCGACTATTGAAGGTATCTGAAGTCTTCTATCTCTGCTATCATCGTTATAAGGTCAATAAGGGGTTCTATTCTAATTGAAATGTCTCTATAGCCTTTTATCGTATTTTAAGGGTCTCTATCTTCTATAGAAGGTCTCTACGGGCTTTTATTGTCGTTTAAGGGTTTCCATCGTCTATAGAAGCACTCTTAAGGCTTATTCGAGAACCGTAAGAGGCTTATATCGCTGTCAATGAGAAGTCCAACGTTTCGGTATGTGTCGCTTCATATTTTATTGAGAATATTAATTCACTTAAATGCTAGACTGCCACAGAAATCTTAGGGTATCGTATTCTATGCATTATCACTTGGGCATTGCCTATATTCGATTTTCCGTTAAGAAAACCATACAAAAATCTACTCACCATTGCAAAACCGGACAACAGGGCCGATGTCTTGCTGGACGCCTTCAGTTTGGCCCGGCTCAGTTGCAGCTTGCGCCACGACAAATAGCTGGGCGAATGCAAATCTTCACCGGACTGTGACATACTGCTGCTGGTCTGACGTCTCGGCTGGAAACGAGAAAATGGTGGAAATGAACGTAAAGAATTAAAGGGTGGTAAATTGGCTGATTGGGAGGTGGATTGCGTTTGCGGCTGAAGCGTTGTATTTAGCAGTGAAGCAGGAAAGCCTACCGATGTGAGGGCAACGGCGGCCGGTGCGACGGCAGCTAGTGCCGACGTCGGCGGTTGCGAGAGAAATCGTTTTGCACTTAGATACCGTGAACTATCACCGAAATTCGATTTGGGTGTTATAAGGCCCGAACTTGAGGCAACCGAACGAGTTTGAAAGCGTAAGGGGCGACACGAATCGCAGAGTTTATAATCGTGTGGTAGATGTGACGACGAAGAAGGAACACCACCGCTACCGGGTGGTGGTGAGCGACGTTCCGTCAAATAATGATGATGATGATTCTCAACAAATGCGGTTGTGGCCAAGGGCTGGACGGCCGCGGAAGGTGGTGTTGATATTGATCGATTGAAGTGTTGATGTGTTGAACCAGCTGTCGATGAGGCTGACAGGGTGCTGTTGTTGTTAATACCGTTTGTGGCCCGTGTGGGTCCTGCTGTTATCCGTGCAGATGTTGTTGTCGACTGGCGATTCAGAAAGCTGTTGGCTGCCGTGGATGGTATTATGGTGGCGGTTAGTGTTGTTGTTGAAGAACCTGCGGTTAAGGGTACCGTGGCATCATCACTGAACATTCGCTCATCTTCGTCGTCGTCGTCCTCCTCGTCATCTTCATCGGCATCTTCAATATCGGTATCATCGCTTTCACTGTGACTCGCCTTTGTCTTCTTCAGGCGATGAGAAGCAGTGGTGGCATGCTTCTGTGGTGATTTCCGTCTTCGACGTTCGCCAGCCTCTTGTGAGGGACTGCGTCGCCCCAAAAATTGTAGATCGCTGAGAATATTTTGATTTGACAAAAGACTATTTTGGCTGAGGTTAAGATGTTGGGAATATCTTAAATTCGAATGCATTTTGGGCCCATCGCCGGCATCTGCAAGTACAGCTGTACCATTACCAGACGCCACCACACTGTGATACGATGATGGCTGCTGCAAGGAGCTTGGTGGCGGTGGTGATGCCGTGTCGATTTTAGACGTTGTGGCTGTTGGTATTTTTGGCTGGTGGGTTATTAGCGATATTGTGGATGTTTTAAATAAATCATTTTCGGGCGTTGTCTGACGTGAGGCTGAGGCACGCTGTTGTTGTTGATGAGCCTTCTCACGGCGTGGCCGGCGATGATCACGGGGTGGTGGTGCCAGCGGCTGAGGTGTGGTTTGTGGTTTCTGCAAATGGTGTTGCTGCTGTTGCAAATGTATGGGCAACATGGTGGCGATGCTGATGTTGCCTTAAGGTGGATTCTCACCCGCACCACCCCGATAAGTCTTTATGAGGTGGAAAATACCCAATGGGTTTTTTTTTCGCAAAATTCTAGGTGAAATCTATAACAAACTATGACCAAGTGTTTCTGTGGCACAAATATTTCGAAATTGTGGTATCGCCAAGAGCACAAAAAAAATAGAAGAATTACAGACCGCAAACGACACTTAGACGAGACACAGAGCACACACTCCGATACACACTGAACTGAATTATTAAATTAATTTCTAAACAAACGGCTGAAAAATGTTTTTGTTTCTTCTCTATTTTTTTTTCTATTTTATGCGGTATGTCTTTTTGATATATTGGATTTGCTTGTTCTTCTTCTTTGAGTAGCCTCCTCCTTTCCTCCTGTTGCAAGATTGGTTGATGACTGCTTCTTGGTTTATGAGTCAGTGGGACACTTGGCGGCCCGCTTGCTTTGCTAAGGTTACACGACACGATGACAACGATCTTGTTCTAGTTATTATTGTTGTTGTTGTTGCTGCTGTTTTTGTGGCCGATGTTCGAAATTATGTTACGTTAATAATTGCAAAACTATTTGGCGGTTTTCATTTCTTGTGCTGTTACTCATTTATTTTTTTCTTCTGGTGTGTGGGTTCAATAGTTTTTTTTTTTTTTTGGTTTCTTTGCAATTTGATGTATTTTTGGCTTATTTTTGTTGTTTTTGCTTTATTTTATTATTTTTTATTAAATTTGTTAACATTTTGCAAAATTAATTAATATGCCGATAATATAAAAATTGCGTTTAACGACCGACAGAGCAGAGAGGGAATGTTTGGTGTTCTGTTTAGAAAGAAATATTTGTTTTTATTAACAGTAAAATCTCGCTAATCCTGATTCGGATTACCGACTTTTCCGGATTATCGAGAATGCGCACTACTCGCATTCGGGAAGTCCGGATTATCGAGATTTTATTGTATTTTATTTTCATTTGTAAAAATAGTGAGCCGTCGAAAATAGAAATATTTTAGAGATGTCAAAATGGTATTAGAAAGTATAAGCCAAAGGATCTGAAAAACCTTTAAAAAAGTAGTCAAACCATCTTGGACAGAGCACCGAGAGGCCTAGTACCTTCCGACAAAAAAATAGAAATATTTTAGAGATTTAAAATTTTTATTAGAAAATCTAAGCCCAAGGATCTGAAGAACTTTTCAAAAAATTTAGTTAAAAACCAGTGAGTGGAGCAGTATAGTCGGACGGGGTCGACCATATATACCCTACACAACTACCACGAAAATCAAATTTTCTGCGGTTCTATATTCTGAGCCTGGGCAATATCACCCTCTTGATCGACTAGAGGTCAACAAATATTACTAATATTCAGTACAGTAATTCTAATTACTTGTCCACATTCCCTTCACCGTGGGTTGTGTTGTCTAAAGAAATACAAAAAAAATAATAAGTTTTCGGTCCACTTTATCCCAATATTAATATCTGATCATCACCGGCGTTGTCCTTGAACCATACCTGGATCCTTATGGAAAATTGCCAAGCGATCCGCGCTATATTTCCGCCATCTAGTGTGGTAATGGGTTACTAAATAATATCTGATTACGTAAGCACATGTAAATATTTAAGTGCAACTCCCACATCCGAGTATATTCGAAAATATAATTGATATAACACCTCGGGTCTATGTCCTTCAGGGGTAAATATATAGGCTATAAATAAATTTATAGGTTATAAAGTACAAATTTTTGTAATTTTTCACATAAAAGTCAGGGTCCACTTGACCCGATAAATATTTACCGATCGTTATAAAAACAGGCATGCTTATTCTTAGGCCCAATCCCCCTCTCCATTGAAAAATTCGCGATATTTGGGCCATAATTGGGGCCTGTGGAGCGACCAGAAAATCGATAAAAATTAAGTATTTGGTCCATTTCATTCCCTCAATATTAACCGATCTTTACCAAAAATAGGGGTCTTCATTGGGCAGAACCAATTCTACATGCAAAATCTCGTGAAGATTGGTCCATAACTGTGGCCTGTATCGTGTTTACAAATTATAATGGACAGACGGATGGACGGACATACATGTCTAGATCGACTCAGCTAGTGGAGATATGACGATCGGTATACTTGAAGGTGGGGCTGCACAAAGTTATAATACCCTGACAACATAGTTGTGTAGGGTACAAAAATCAGATGCTTTCAAGAATCTTAATTTTTTTTAATTGAGAACTGTAATCCTTTCAATATAATTCTAAAGATCCAAAAATAGTTTAGAAAATCAAAGCCTTGCAATAACATTCTTGAAAATGTAGAGCCTTTCAAGAATATTATTTTTAAATTAAGGAATAGAGTTCAGAAGATCCTTCCAATAATAGTCTAAACAAATTCATAGCCTTTCGAAAAATATTTTTAACTAAATTCAGGTCCAGGTTTCTGGACCTGAAAAATATTCGTAAAAATTCAGTCCTCCATGATAATTTATGGTTCCCACGGGCCTTCCAAAAATATTATGAAAAATTTGGAGCCTTCCAAATATATTTAAAAGAATCCTGGCCTTGAGTTGCTAAGAGTTTTCCAAAAATATTCTTAAAAAATTCACAACCTTCAACGAATATTTGAAAACAATTTCTGAATAACCCTTCAAAAATTTTCGTAGAAAACCAGAGACATAAACAATATTAAAACAGACCCTTTAAAAAATTCTTTAAAATATTCGGTTCTAGGAAGCTGTCGAACCATCGAAAAATTCACGCCTTAAAGGCAGATTAGCCTAAAAATAATTTTTAAAACATGAACACATAAAGTGCTGATGACCTTTCTATTTTTTAAATCCACGCCTAGAGTTCCGAACGACCTTCTACAATAATTAAAAAAAAAACACGCCTAGGGTTCGGAAGGACATTCTAATAATATTTTAAAACTATGCACGGCTAAGTGTCTTAAGTACTTGTAAATTTTTTTAATAGTCCACGCCTAGGGTTCTGATTAATCTTCTCAAAATATTTTTAAAAAATCCAGGCCTACGGTTCTGCAGGTCATTCTAAAAATATTTTAAACAAATTTACGTTTGGGGTTCCGAAAGACCTTGCATAAATAATATTAAATAATCCAGGCCAAGTGTTCTCAGGACCTTATATAAAAATCTACCCCTAGAATTCCGAAGGTTTATTTAAAAAAAAGTATATTTAAAAAATCCACGGCAAGAGTACCTTCTCAAAAAACATTTTAACAAATCCCACGCCTAAGGTCCTGATTAACCGTCTAAAAATGTTGTTAAAAATTAAAACTATTTTTAGAGGCCTGAAATGCATTGTCAAACTATTTATACAAATTCACGCCTAGGGTTCTGGATAAGAGACTTCTAAAAATAATCTTTAACAATATTAGCTTATGGTTCTGCAGCATTGAGAACATGAGGATCATAAAAACACTTAACACAGGGCTCGTATAATCCTCATAAAGACAATTCTACACATAGTCTTTCGATGGCCCTTCTAGAAATATTTTTAAAAATCTACGACAAGGCTCTATAAAATAATACGTGTAGCCTCTACATAAGGCCTACATTTTTAAGGGTCACGAAGGACATAAACAGGAAGACATTTTACTGTGATAAAAATGCAAAAATATTTATAAAATATTTCCATCACAAATTCTTAAGTCTAATAACATTATAAACAACATTGTTTCCCATGCACAAGCCTAATATTGAAATACTTTTTTTTGCCTACCAAACGTCATCGAAACGTGTCTAATTAAAGTTTTTTTTGCGAATAACAACTGCAGATAATGTAAATAAAAAATTTCCAATAACTGTCCGGTAACTTTCCATCGACATAGTCCAATATTGTTTTTAACAACCCGCCGCAAATAAATTACTATTGAAAGTTCGCCATAAATCATTAAAAAAAGGTGCCCAGTTTT